TGTAGAATAATTTATTTATGTAATATACTCATATACACATTTATATATATATATATATATATATATATTTTAATACAAGATCTCTTCTTCTCTTTGCAAAACAAAACAAAAAGTCCCGTATCACTTTGTAAATGTTATACAGCCAGTTTGGGAGTTAGCTGGGTTTTCTTGGCTTTTTTGTTTTGCAGTAGGTCCAAGAGTTAATGCATTCAGCTCAGAGTTGTAATAGTTGACCTCTAATAAACTATAACACTATACGGAAAAATCCCAGTTTTAATCAAGTGCCCTTCAAAAGGGTTCCAACTGTTACCAGTGCACTCCTTTTTCCTCTTTGATTAGCAAACGCCAGATCAATGTCCTCCTGACATCTTCTTTAAATCAACATGCAATCAATTCCAGTCACAAGGGGTATTCTGCGCCCTTTCTTCAGCTGTGTTGAAATATCTCTAATTATCTGCATTGCCTGTACTTTCAGAACTCCAAGTAACTGTTTCCACTCAACCCTTCTAGAAATTAAAATTAAGGATTACACCCCTGATTGTCATTAGCAAATGTATGTCTCTCAGAGTTTTGACCAAAAGAAGGGTTTTGGAGCTGTGTTTAGGCTTGTATAGATAAATGTAGTATATGAATCCTTATCTCAAAATCTATCCCATAGATTTGTTTTAAAATTCAGTTTTATTGCAGGGATCAGTGCTTGAATCCAATAATCTAAGAAATATGCAATATTCTGTTAGCTTGCTATATATTATAATATTAATAGCCATTCTTATTTCATCTGCATAGATATTGTCATTTTTTTAAAAAAATGCCACTGAAATTACAAAAGGACAGGTTTGATTAAGATTAGGAAAAGGTTTTTTTTTAAACATACAAGAGATGACATCATATATACGTATTCTAAAATGTACCAATTTCTCTCGTGACATGAGTTTGCAGGAAATGAGGCGCTTGTATACACATATACAACAAGCAAGTAAAGCTTGGTTTTTTCCCCTTATACATCAGCATCTTTGAGATGGTGGCAAGAGCTGTCCTCTGAATCTTAACATGGCAAATAATAATAATCATTCTGCCTCATGGAACTATGACCATGTTAGAGATGATGAACAGTACAATGTTCTTCAAGCATGCGAAGTCCCCACTTTGAAAAAGCCACCATTCAGGAAAAGGAAGCATGTACTGTTGGAAAATCCATTTGAAAATCTGGGCACAATATTCACCCTGGGTGAGGGTTTTTTTTCCCCCATATCTTAGGTAGCGTTCTCAACGTCTTACCTTGGGAATAAAACACATTTGTCTATCAACAGTTAGTCAAAAAGACAGCATCATTTGGATATATATTTGTTGAGTATCTTCTGCATTACAAAAGCATGGGAATTATTAAGGCCAAAGGTGACTTGAAAAATAACAAAGAGACCCTGAGACATAGTATGATTACTGTGCAGACTTTAGGTTCTTAAACTGGGGATAATTACCCCCAAGAAGGTGATTTGGATATATCTTGGGGGTAATGTAGCAATGTGTAATTGCTTGTTTGTGAGTTGAGGATCCAGTTTGGACTGCTGTTGTCAAGATGCTTGGGTGAGACAACAGAGTCTGGATTGGGGGGGGGGGGTTAATGACATTGAGACTGGGAAAAGGGGTAATTGGGTCAAACCACTGCTCTAAAACATCAGAATAGCACTTCAGAAAATCCATTTTAAATTTTCACTGCTTTTTTTCCAACCAGCCCTGCCTTGCAAAAGCAGCATGTCCAGTGTGAAGAGAAGTTCTACCTCCTAGAGTAGAGATGCAAAGCCTAAAGCCTTAAAAGCCAGATATGGCCCCCAGAGGTCTAAAGGCTGTCCCCAGAGCCCTTCCAAACACTATAACTGAACTATGGTTTTTATTACCGCAGAATAATTGAAAATACTGGATGTAAATAATTTAATAAATAATGAAATGCATAGGACAGCATCAGCTTAACTGGATTTAATTCACTTAGTTTGCTTTCAATTACAATTAGACTTTTGTCTTGGCCCCACCCATTTCTTTGTCCTGACCCGCCTACTTCCTGGAGCGCAGACCCAACCAACTACACAACAACTGAGTGCACTCTTAGAATGAACAGTTATCCAGCCCTGCCTATAGACAGCTATGGGCTTCTCCCTTTGGACTCTCAGAAGTCTTACAAGGGCAGTAGCAGAAGAGACTTCTGATATGAGTCCACCTCCATTTTTCTCTTGGTCACTCCCTACAACTGAAAGAAATGTTGTTAGTTGCTTAGAACTATAGGAAACTGACTTGAGATTATTTCATCATTAGGGACAAATCTTTGGAATATAATGAGTGTTCCTGCAAGAAGCAAAGGTATGAGATAAACTTTAAAAAATCAGTACAGCAATACACACTCAAGTCCACTGCCTCCTTTACAAACATCCACAAATTGATTCTTAAGCAGCAGAGGCCAAGGTTGCTTCCCAAGTAAAGCAGGAGTTTTGCCACGTCCATAGTCTAGAGGAGACTGGGACTATGGATTCTTCCACAGAGAGTAGTTTTTTTGTTCTCTTGTTCCCTCCCAGGTGATTCCTCTTCTAAAGAAAAGTCTCAAAATCCTTTGAGATCCTGAAAGGTCATTCAGAGTTCTCCAAGAAGGTTACAGTATCTCAAAAGATTTTAGTGGTCTGGAAAGTTCCTATAATGGGGCTTACTCCCAGGTACCTATGCACAGGCTAGCAGTCATTTTATTCCTCAAAATGGAGACATTTCTCTTTTGGAATACAATGTTGTCTGGGTGTAGGCTGAAGAAATAGCATAATAAGGATGAACAAATCACTCAGAATGGTAGTTCAGGAAGTGAGTAAAGCACCTTTCTGAAAGTACCCCTTAAAGCAGCAAGAAGATACATCTTCTGGAAAGCTTAGCGCAGCTGTTTCAAGAGTTAGTCAATGCTGCTTGATGAGTTAGCACACATCTCAATGTTTCAAGCAGCAGGTTTGGTAGGGCCCCCATACCTGGGCTGCAAATATTTGGATGATCACTAGAGATGGTGGCAAGGAATAAGAGTGTTCTGTATCTCTTTAGTACCATTTAGTGATATTCTGTATTTTTAGTCTAGATATAGCACTTCGCTCCAAATGGCTCAGACAGGCCTACTCTATATGCTGTTTTGATCAGCAATCCTTTATCTTTCAAACTAACTTATCTCTCGGGATTATTGTGCAGAAAGAAGAAAATACCACTTGGGATGCAAACATTTCCTGCAGAACTGAGGCTGAAAACTGAGTCCTAACAGGGGTATATCTCATGCAGCCTGCCTCCCATCTGCACCCAGAACAAAACTGCTCTGCCTTGCCAGGTGACTGAAAAGAGCTACATTCACATGTAAAATTAAACCATGATTTGTTGTTTTATCTCCTGACTCCTCACACTACCACACATTCTCATAATTAACATAGATCATACCTCTCCAGTTCAAACCAGAGGACTTCTTCCAAGCTACTGGGCAAGAGCATGCTTTTCTTCTTCATGGAGAACTGTTCCTGCTGGGTGGCTCATTTGCTTCAGATGATTGCTGTGGATGAGAAAGTTCGTTTTTTAAAAGTATTACCTGCCTTTTAAAAATGTAACTTTCCCAGTGTGTTATTATTCCATCCAAAATGTTTCGCCACAATCTGATTTTTATTGTATACATTGTAGTTTTGCTCTGCTGCCTTTATCCATTGCTGGAAGGTAGTTTATGTGGACAATGCCTTGAAAGATGAGGTAGACATAAGAAGGTAGGCAGAAAAATAAATGAATCAAATCTGGCCAATTCCAAAAAGAAGACTGAAATTCAGCTGCTGTCTTATGTGTTCTTTCTTTCAAGGGGCTGGATTAAGCAACTGTTGGTTAACCCAAGGATGGAGAACATTCTGTCTCTCTCACTCTTTTTCGCCCCCCAGCACTCTCCTACTGCCAGCCCATTTTCTCATCTTCCTGATCTCGCCTTCTCTTTCTTCCTTTTCCCATTTGGTCATTTGCTGCTGAACAAAGGAACCAAACACATTTCAGATTGAAGGGTGCTTGTCACCCATCCTTATTTCATCAAAAAAGTAAACAGGACATTCTCATTGTTCTTTTCATTGTACTACATCATATACGGATATTACTATGTTCTTTTAATTTTTCTGACATTCAATAAATTCAGCTATGATAATCTGCTAGGCTTGTATGATCTTAGCTGAAATATGGATATTCAGCCTTTTTAACATGTGAACCCACTGCTCAGAGCAACTTTTAATAGCAAGAAAAATCTCAAGGATCCAACAATGCAATCTACATACAAACCCAAATTATTTTATTTTAAGGATTTGTATGCTGCCCTTCAAAATAGGTTTTAAAAAAAGAAAGATCCAGTTTGGAGGGTAAACAAGAATCTACATGGGTTCAACCAATAAGATCTATCCACAAAGGCCAAAACTTTCACTAATGAAAACACCTTTAAGAACATCAAAGTTTCTACACTGGATCAGATCAAGACCAGCTATTTCCTCAGTCCACTTTCAACAGTGCCAACCAGATGCTTTGAAAAGCTCACACTGTATGCTGTTTATTCAGCATTTTCTCAACATAAAAAGTTCCAAATAACTCTTAAAAGCATTAGGGCTGGATGAAACTTCAATTCAAAGTTTTGATTTGCTTGAAGTAACCTTTCAAATCATTGACCTATCTCTCCAAATCAATCTGAAAAATCAATGGACTTTTACACAGGTACATACATATTTCTATTGTATTGCAATTTAAAGCTAAATCAATATGATTATTTAAGCTGATTTTTCCAACTTCAGGTTCCAAACAGATCTCACACATCCCTAATACCATCAACTGACAAATGTCCACAAATCTGTCACAGCCGTTTAAAACCCACCTAAACCATTCTTGTATGGGCATTCATCCATGTGGGAGCCACTTCACCATGATGCTATGCCATGCAGCTGCAACATGTATGTAAATTTTCATGATCACACAAGCCGTGTCAATCATGAGTCCCCCCCACCCAACTGGTGCTTTCCCATCCCAATAGATAGAAAGATTTTGTATTCACACAAACACTACAGCTGAATAATTCTGAATAATATCTGCATCAGAAAGATATTTCTGGTGTAAATTTGGATCTATAGAAAGAAGAGATCTGTGCTTTTAGGAGAAAAGGTATGCCTTTCCATGTTTTCCAGTTTTTAATAAATGTGGCATTGAAATGTGGCATTTCAATAACTACTTCTAACTTTTCCAGCTGTGTACATCATTGTGGTATCTTTCTCAATATAAAAAGTGATAAGATCAAATGAAAAAAAAAGCCTTCATCTCTTATGCAGTATTTTTTGAAACATTCATTTGTTTCTTAATTACTTTCCTTGAATAAACCAGATTTCTAATATTATTGGGGATGGAGAGGGAAATCACTCTCCACTCTCCTAAGCCATGTGTTATTTCTTTCAACTATAGAGGTATGCAAAGAAGAAGCATCTTACCATTGGACATCCCATGTGCAAAACTGCACGCACAACTTGTCACGTCGATCTGTACAAGAGCAGCGTGGTGGAGACCTTTCTAATGAATGCAAGCTCTTGTGTTGCTGCTCTGTGGACCTTCTGACCCGGAAATTTCCCCTGTAATTAGCCAACCCATATGGAACAGTTTTCCTGTAACAAGAGATGCAGAAATACCATCACATTTTCAAAATTACTTTGGAAATTTCTCCTATAAGTGAATGAGGGATAGGAGCTCTGGTGGGAACAGCAGTAAAAAAAACTGGAAATTCTTCCCCAATCTAAATTAAAATCCAGCCAGAAATCAATTGAGGAGCTTAATAATGCTCACCTCTCTTTTGAGGTTTAAAGAGAAGGGAAAGGAACCTTTAGAAGGAGGCCCTAAGATTTCTACCTGGGCCCAAATCCAGCATGCCTCATGGCACAATTTCTAGGTCAGGTATGCTGGAAATCAGAGAGGTATAAGTTATTTGCTAATTGCCAACCTGTTATCTTAAGCAGTGAACATTCCAGACTTCAAGCACACATGCAGTCTTATCAGTTTTTAAGTGGGGGAGAAAAAAAAGATCACACCTTTTTTCAAATCACATATGAAGTCTAGAAGATGCCTTCTTCCATTATAAGCACACAGCTGCTACAAGTCACTTCTAATTTATGTGATCCAAACCAACCATCCCAAAATCTAGCGGTGCTGAATTTTGAAAAAGGAGATAAACTCTTTCTTTTCTTTTTTCCCCCAAAAAGCAAAGATGTCTGGGAATCCATGTTATTTTGAGGCATGGGGATGAAAGGGAATATAAAATCTTGAACCAATCTCTGTCAGCTTATATAGAAGTAACAATTTAATGTGACATTTTACATCAGATAGTTCTCCTTGATAAAGAAACTATCCAAAATGTGTAGGAGAATCAATACAAGTGCACAATACAATGGTATTTTCTTTTCTTGCTAATTTAACTTATCTCTGTCTGGCAATGTTTTGCTAGTGAATGTAAGATTCCCTAAGAATGTATCTATTGTAAAGGGCATAGGATTTGCTAACACAGGAATAATCTTTACAGAACATTCTAATAAGCATAAGCATTTAGCAGAGATGAATACAAGAAGAGCCAGTGTGTAAAGTGTTTAGGAAGCTGGAATGAATCCAGGAAAACCAAGTTCAGCTCCATAATGGATCTCACTGGATGTTCTGGGTCAATCATAAACTCTCAGCCCAATGTATACTTCACAGATATGGGCCGAAAACAAGAAGAGGCTCCTATGCAAACCACCTCCAGTTCTCAAAGGAAAAGTAAAGTATAAACATAATATTACTAGTAGTAATGGGCACGAGAGCTTATGGATATTAAGTTGACATGATGTCAACCTCTTCAGTTATGTAGCTTGTTAATCCCTTATGAGCAATTGGCTTATTTGGCTCTCAGACATGATTCAGGAACAGTAATAATGGATCCATAAACATATGAAAGATTTGTCCACTGTGCTACAGAGAAATCAAAGCCTTCATGCCCAGACTTTCATCTCTGGGCCCTTTTTTTTTTCCTCCCAGAGTGACTACCATCATTTTCAGGATTTCAAGTAAAAAAAAGGCTACATGCCATCTTAGGAATAAGCAGGACTGAATGCACTGAATTAACAGTACTCTACATGGAACAATCTGGCCATGTTTTAAGCAAAAAAAAAAAAAGATGATATGATAAATCTCACATTAGAAATGGCAATATCTAAATAACAGGGAAGGAATGTTGAACTCCCCGTGACATGATGTGATGGACAGGGTGCTTAGTTTCTGAGTAAAAGAAACACAAAGACTAGTTTCATCACGAAAACACTGGGGAAGAATTCATCAAGAGAGTAATTTCTATTACTTGTGGGTTAAGCAAAGGTTCTCACTACAGGCTTTAATCAGCTCATCCTTGTAAGAATGCCTGTGTCAAACCCAACTCCGTAAGTGTTCATTATCAAAAAATAATTATCTGCACCTCCTGAGTTTCCTTTTGCTGTGACCACACTGTTTATTTCCACTGTTTATTTCCCACAGCAATGGGAACACAGCAATTTTATCCCACTCAGGATAAAATTTCAAGCATTTTATAAAAGTGATTATAATCCACAATGTTTATGCTACAATAAATTCATTAATCTTTAAATTGCCATAAAATTATGTTTGTGCATCAGACCGCAATCATTCAACATTTCACCATGGAAGAAATTCTGCAATACTGCTTACAAACTGTGATTTGAATCAGTAATGTAAACTGAGCAGATCTGCCATTTATTCTGTAACTCATAAAAAGAGTCTGAAATTCCAAACCCCCATGAGAAATTACAATCAGGACCCTACACACATGTACTGTCTGGTAAACAACACACTGTTCATATTTTGTGTAGCCAACGTTATGCTTCTTCTTTTTTCCCAAATAAAAGCAACAATTAGCAAGGCACTGTTTGAATTCAATCTCCATGTCTGCATGGAATGATATGAAAAAATGAAATGTTAAATTAATTAGTGATTTAAAAAGGCAAGCAACTATGCACACACCCCTCCATTTATTCTGAAAAGACTGCCAATATTTGAAAAGGGATCAAACCACCATGTAGTGGGGATTGGCTTGAAAAGCAATGTGGATAATACTTATAAGGAGATCAAACCATTTCGGTTTCAGGAAAAGAAGAATACATACAAGAGTTTCCACTTTAACTGGAATTAAATGTTTTGGTTTTGGAACACATTTTGCAACCAGAGTGCTCCTTTGAGATTCACAGAATGTAAAAATGTTTGTATTCAAGAAAACTATCCAATGCATGAATTATTGTTCTAATTGTCTGTGACATTTTGAATAGACGTCACCAAGAAATCTATTGTGGATGGTTCTTGTTTCTCTGGCAAATCACATAATAATTGTATTCCATTATCTGGTTCAACTAGAATGATATAAACATTCTCCTAAAATAGTCTTGGACTTTTTCTCACAGGCTTATTCTTCAATTTGTAAATCTGTTTTGCTAATTTTCTTTTTTTTAATACTTCTTTTCCCTGCAAACTGTCCCAGTTCCATTTGACTTAAATGAATCACTCTCAGATTCAGCCCTTGTTTCTGCATAATGAGAGTGGTGGCACTACTTTTACAGGAATGCTGCCAGAATTACTGAGATAATTTACATAAAATGTGTTGAGGACTTAAAGGAATAAATGCCAAATATTAAGGAAATCCTAAAAAGCTTGGACCCGTGCTGTTACATTCACATGATTAGCTGTAAAGATGGTGATGATTATGAAGAAACATTATGAAAACCTTTTGACATCTGAAATACTTTCAAAGAACTCTGAACACAGCCTCTCTCCAATAAACAGCTATATCTTTACACATCTCAGTCCCATAACATTCAGCTTTTCCTTGAATGACAGGAGCTACAAAGGGTTCATGTTGTAAAGCCTTTCCTTATAATTACATAGTACCAGCACAAGCCCTGCAGCTAAACAGAGATGCAGAAAGATAGAAATATATCTTCTTTTTATTTTCTTGGAATGTTCCAAGTATGCTAAGTAAAATTTCAGCCTTTGGCAAGACTAAGACATTTCAACTCAACTGGAAAAGGTAAACTTATAATTTCATTCCCAAATTGTGCACAAGGAAACATCGCCAATGTACCAGGAGAGAATTGTGAAGTGTGTTGTGAAAAAAAGGATTAAATGTTCTTATAAGTCCTATAAATTTGCCCACCCAAAAGCTGAGGAGTGATGGCCCTGGTCTTACTTCCTTTCCACCGGAAGGAAAATCTAGAACAGGCTTGCACAATTCATATAGGGGAAAGGGGCAGATTAATACCTTAAAAATAATTGTGGGTCACAAAGGAATAGCTGGGGCACCAATCAACTGTTTGGCAGTTAATGGTGGGGCATCAGCAATGGCATTGGCAGTGTCCATGAGACCTGGAGGCACTGGAGACACTTGGCAACATCCTTCAGGGCAGAAGTGCCTGTGAAAACCTGGGTGGTGGTGGCGGCACATCTTTCCTAGTAGCACCAACATTTGGAAGCAGTGGATTGGTTATTTTTCAAAAAAAGGTGGTGAGCCATACAAGGCTGCCTGGCAGGCCACATGCGGCCCAGGGCCACATACTGTACAGGACTGATTTAGAACAATGAGAAATTTAAAAATACAGAACAGGTCCACCACTATGGGGAAATAATATGCGGTATGCAGTACAAAAATGCCCTTAGGTATAATGCAAAGATAAAGTGCACTTCAACTATCAGTTTTTGGAAACAATTCTATATCTCTATTATCAATAAAGCTAAAACCTGTGCATAAAACATACAACCATCTATACACTGAAGAGTTTTCTCATTTTTAAAAAATCTCCCTGAAGCTGAACTTGACTCCTGATGACTACATTCTTGGCAAGAAAAGGGATATGATTTGCCATTGTTTCCTTTTGATTTTTTTTTGGGGGGGGGGGATTCCAGGCTAGCCTGCAGACTTCCTGGGGATCTCCCATCCAAGGCTTAAATCTTGCCTGTTTTGAGATCAGCCAAAATCAACTAGGTGTTATCATCCCTCTAAACCAAAATTAAAACACTCTTCCCTTCATTAATCATAACTTCAGATGGAATTAAAACAAACAGAAATAATTTACATTGCTCGAACGTATTTCTAAGTATATGGATCTATGGTGGCTGGAAATTAGAGAAGTTGACTCAAGACATCTGGAGGGCACCAAGTTGAAAAGTGCTGCTGTAGATAACATATGGAAATTCCAGATTAAGAAGCCCAAACACCTCAAGGGTTAAAAGAAATTCAGTTGACCTATCCATCCAGGTAATGGGTGGAGAAAATCAGAATCTGAGAAGCCAACCAGGAGATGGGTGGGCAGTCTTCTCCAGAGTTGGCTGGAAGCCCCAGCCACCAATAACAGAGCTGGAGCTAGTAATTTAAACAGCAAGTTAGGGTCGGTAAGGCCAGTGCCAGTATGTACTGCAGTTTTATTTTATGGAATGGGATCTGGGCTGTGTAAATAAATTCTGGCATGAGATTTTGGGCTGGAAGGAGCAGCTGAGATCTCCTTACCTTTTCTTCTTTCTTTTAGCTTTCTAATATTGCTACAGGTAATAAACATTTAAAATCCTTAAATAATTATTAATCCTTGGT